CTATCTGTATTGTACAAACGAACACTTCAAGTACAAATCACTCGAACTATTACAACGAATTAACATAACAAAATATTATTTATCAATTCTACTTAAAATTCTGTTCTCTATCGCGGGTAAAAATGAATCACGCCGGTTCACTGAGTTACGCCACTTCTCGACGCCTCTCGATTTACTATCAACGAAAGGACCTACAAAGACACTCGGAGTACTCGTTGGAAGATTTATCCCGAGGCTGGCCCATGAATTTTTACCTCGACGTTTCCTCGCTACCTTTAAACCGGACCATTTACATTACGATTTACAAGCGGAAGCATCAAGAATCGAGAGGGTGGATTTTATAAAACGGAAGAAGCTGGAAGAAGCAAAGAGCGGGCGGCGAACGCGATGAAGCAGAAACGGCGGCGTTATTTAATGGACGGGTAGAAGAAGAGAGAGAGAGATGACGTTGGATGAAGTTGGCCGGAATGGAGCTCGCCCAGGACCCCGGAAATCTATTGCAAAATAATAAGTTATCTGCCGGCGACTTTTGCCGACGTGTCGTCCGCGGCTGGTTTCTCCCCGAGGTTACCTCATTATTTCTAACTGATGACGCCATAATTCAGTTTCTCGAGACGTACAAGAAAATGGACTTCCTCGACCTCGTCTTGCTCTTCGTTGCTGAGCCGATCTCTCTCTCTCTCTCTCTCTCTCTCTCTCTGTCTTTCTCTTTTAGGGAGAGAGAGGATGCGACACGGTGCACAGTGTCTGGCCCTGCTATTCCGTCCAATTAAATGCCTAATCAATTATCCGCTGGTGGAGGGTGGGGGGACGAGTTCACGCCCTTTCTTGCTCGTAGCTCCCGAAACACGTTCTCCTCGTCCCGTCAACCTCCTGCCGCGAAGAAATTACCACGGTATCAAGAGGATCACCCAGGCCACCGTGTTACACACCTATCCCCACCCATTTTCTCTCGATAATTGGCCTGTGTGGTTGGAGATTTGGGGGAAACTGGAGATTCCGGTTGGGGAAGGTGTGAAGCGGTGTTGTTCACATCCTCGCCAACCTCGTGTATATATATTTTTCTATTTTTAAAGGTGGAACATCGATCCACTTTGCTACTGCAGTAACCGTGAGAATTTTTATGTAAATTGAGATAACAATTTCGAAGAAATTCTGTTATATTTTTGGTTTCCTCAATTCGTGAATTATCGCAAATTTCCTCAAACTTGAAAATAAAGAATCACCTTATGTGTTCCGAAATGTAAGTGTTAGGCCAGTGCATAAATAATTAACCTATTCACTGTGGCGGACGATTTCCGATATAAAAAAATAAGTGTCAGATATTTTTTTGGAGAACTACTATGTACCAAAGACTCGTCGAAATTTGTGATCATCGCTTCGAGATGTTTCCCCTTTAGAAACGAAGAAATTAGAGAAAGTCACGGTCGAATTTCCCATGCTCTTCGAATTATATCCTTTCGACTGTAGTGTAAATTCGAAACACGTTAACAAGAACGACGAACGAGTTACACGTGATTCCACGGATCCAGGAAATCCGTCCAACAGCTCGTCCTACTGATGACGTACTAATTAGAAGGCCCCGGTGATGAAAAAGACCGAAGATGAGAGCCATAGAGTCCAAGATAGAGTCGCGCTGAAGGTAATTTAGGAATGAGGGGGACGAAATTTAGTAAAGCCTTGACCGTGCACAGGCTTCATCTACCGGTCTTGCAAACTCGACGCGAAATTAACGCTTTGTACGAGGCCTCGAAACTATGGTACACCGCGAAGTAACGCCGCTGTGTAGAGACCGCTTCATTAACTTCGTTACAAAGAACTCTTCCACTTTTTCTTTGCTCCCATAGTTTGTGAATACCTTCGTTTCGTTTTTCAGTCTACTCATGAATATTGTTATTTGAGGAAAAATTTTTTCATGCATTTGAATATTAAGAAATTTCAGAAAGGATGAGGATAAACATTTTTAAAATGTGTGATTTTTCGTGTAAATTAAACGCGGTGAAAGATCGCGTTGCTTTCTATACCGATAAACAAACGATGCAACTGAAGTTCCTGATAAGTGTCGACGATGAATTATTAATTTTTACGTAAAAGGCGTTACATTCGAAGAATTGCATACTAGAATTATTTGGACACAAGTTTAATGCAACATTAAACTGAAGTAATTAAATAATCTGTGTATTAAACTTTTGTATGTTTTATTCTTCACTTTGGCCTAAATACATCCAACAGTAGTGGATTTAATAATTACGTGCAAGGATTAAAATATATAACAGCAAGTGTGGTTATGAAAGGAATTAGCAGATGTACTTACATATGTATGTTTAGTTCACAGGTTGTCTGACTATATATTGCTCACTACTACTTACTCTCCCTAGCTCACTCTTATAATTCTCTGCGTTTCTGTGTTGTACCTTGCAGTCATTCACCCTGTATCACTATAATATTCTTCTTTAGTGATAGCATATGTCAAGTTGACATTTAAAAACCACATGAATGCAATACATTTAAAAAAAATATATATCAAGTGTAACAGTCGACGTTTAGTCAGACATGTTCTTCATTCGATAAGTATTTAATTCTTAAATCACTTACAGCTATCTGTATTATACACACAATTACTTCAAATACAAATCACTCGAAATATTGCAATGAATTAACAAAACAAAATAATTAATAATTCTGTTTAACCCTTTGAGTACTTATATGCAACATTGTAAAGGTCGCGAAATTAATGCATTCGTAATTCCTTGAAATTTTTAAAAATTAGATGAGAAAAAATAAAAACATATTTCCACATTATTCACGAATAATGTAAGTCATAAAAATAGTTTTCGCTTTTTTACCACATTTCAGTGAGCACTCGAAAGGTGAAAGTTCTTCGATCAACTTCGATCGTTTCTCATCATATTACACTTCTACGAAATTTTTCCAACGTTCCGTTACATTTATCTCCGACGTATCTCTGGCAATAGCAGCGAGGGAATAATCGAAAAGCATCGCTTAACATTGGAGCCATTACCGGAGTCATGATTAACGTTTGTCGAAAGCTTGCCGATCCTGCGCTAACGAAACCGATCGAAGAAGGTTTATCGAAGATAGTTTAATCGGTCGTTAATTTTTGGCTGAATTACAGGTCCGGAATTTTGCGCGGCGGTGATTGTAATTCAATGGACGACGGCGGATTGAAATTTTCCCGGGGAATAACGGTGATTTAAATGAAAATGATTTGCACGCCGCGTGTAATGCGGGATAATTGCGTTTCACGTGGAATTTTATAGAGTTACGCTGTTTTAATTATACGTCTCGCGCGGATCGTGTTTCCCTATGCGGCGTATCGTTCGAGCCGTGGTTTTCCACTTTTATTCGTGTCGATGACAGCGGGAGAACGCGATCTGTAATTGTGCTTAACGAGAAATTTCAAAAAACAGAGAAAGACGATAAACGCGGGCTGTCGCGACGAAATTTTTCGTGAAAACTTGCTTGAATTTGCGGTACAGCGGGACGGAAATGGATTTGTCGAATTTTGTAACTGTAGGATGTTTAGCTCGAAGGGAGGGGAATAAAAGTGAGCGAGAAAATATTACGAGTGTGAAATGGAGGATGAGAGTCGACAATATGAAGGCGCGGAGGGGTGAATCGAGGTTATAAAGAATTTATCAGGTAGTCGAGCTGCGAAAGTGGCGGACGAGGTATCTGTTTTAGGATTCCATTTATAGGTGAACACGAGGCACGATTTTCAAACAAATTTCGTGGCACGTGTAATCTTAACCTTGGAGAAATCACACTTCGTTTCTCTATCTACTTTTGTCCTTTTTATCCTTTTTATTTTATTAGGAGTTCTGGAAAAATCTTTGCTGTGAAAAGTCATTGCTAAATGATTACTCTCGAAGTCTGAATTTTTACTATAAATAAAGACACCCCTGAAGTCTGGATTTTTAAATATAAATCATTTTGATATAAATGAAGACACTCTTGAAGTCTGGATTCTTAATATAAATCACTTCTGTGTAAATAAATACACACTTGAAGCCTGAATTTTCAACACACTGTATATTTATACTATAAGACTTAGTGACAGAACCATTTAAATTTATTAACACACTTTCAAATTTCCATTTAAAAAAAAAAAAAAAACGTTAAGACGTATTAATGGCATATTTTACTAAATAAACCGCCAGTTAAATTTATCGTGGTTGTACATTTTTATCAACAGAATTTTTCCATTATAGAGCTCGTAAAAGAGGGTTGCAGAAAATGGCCATATTTAAGGTTCTCTCAACACCTAAAATTTTTATAAGGTGTACTCGTACGGGTTCCAAGAAATTAGAAAAGTACAGTGGATAGTTAGCTGTAGCAAAATTGTAAATACATTTTACTCTAAATTTATATCGTTAATTTATCACTTTCTATCGTTGTTAATTAACGTTTTTTATATACGATAAAAGTATAGACTTTTATTTTCAAAATTTTGGAATTTCATGCACTAGTTTAGAACTTATAACGATTTAAAATCACCAAATTTCAATTTGTCATAGCATCCAGCTTTCTATTTATCCGCTACTTTTCAAAACTTCCCATCGCATTTTCCGCAAATAATTACACTTTCTAAATTACATACTGTCTACATTTCCGATTCCTTCGACCTCATAGGAGGACCACAGTACCAGGTCACAGAAATACTATAATTAAACACTTTCTACGTTTCTAATTCCTTGGATCTCCTAAAAATATATTTCACAAAATCCGTAATGTGACTTTTTTACCACCCACGTTTGACAAATGAAAAAGAGCGTTTCGATGAATGAAGAACGGTAGCTGACACGAAACCTTTGAACAGTGGTGCGCGCGTATTTACCTACGCGACTCTATTTCGAGCGGCGCAGCTTTCCAGCCGCGCTCCGTTTGAAATACATTTTCATAACATTGTATCGGGCTGGGGAGGAGGAGGAGGATCGGTCGTGCAGACGGGAAAGGCTTCAATCAATTTCGTTTTCCAGGTTTCCGGGCATTTATACAATACCGGTCAGTTTCTGGTATTCAGAGCGGATCGGGAGGCGAAGGTGCGAGTCAATATAACGGGTGGTCCACTCGCCTATCACTATCAATTCGAGGAGATCTACATACACTACGGGATGGACAATGATTATGGATCGGAGCATCGCATCAATAGCTACGCTTTTCCTGCCGAGGTGAGTGAAACGTTTACGAAATTCAACACCTAACCGCGGATGTATCCCGTTTCGCGGGAACGATCAGAGTCTGGCAACTATTTCGTTGCCGAAAATCCGCTCGCTTGCCGTTGGTGTACAATGGGAAACTCGACGGGAAACCTCTGCTCCCCTGTAATAAGATATGACGTTTGAACGCTTAATGCTGGTGTTAATTAGAGAAGGTGAGTAGTTAACACATTAGAGAATGTTGGATAGTCAATTGTTCGCTTACCAGGGGAATTATGGTAACCTCGAATGTAATTCCTCATTTTCGATGAAATTTATATAGCGTGCAGTTTGCGAGAAAATGTTTCGTACGTATTCTTTTTTATCGACAATGATCCATATTGAAAGGGCGTGTTTATATGATAATAAGAAATTACCAAGGAGATCTAGGAATTTTTTCTAGAAAATTCTCGAACGAGTTCCAGAGGAATTCTAGGAAATTACCTGTTCTAAGGAGCTCCTCGGGAATTTTTAGGGAGTTTTAGGGAGCTTTTCTAAAGAATTCTAGAGTTCCTCGAGAATACTAGAGATTTCTAGGGAGTTTTCGGATTATAAATGAATTCTTAGGAAAATTGAGAATTGTTAGATATCCATAGGAAACTACCCCAATCGCTAAAATTCCCCGGGAAAATAACTCAGAATCGCTAAAATTTTCCAGAAATATTCCTGGAAATCACTGGACTCTCATAGAAATCCTAAAAATCACTAAAAGTACTCTTCCACTCAGTTTTTAATTTTCGTAAACGAACATATGCTAGTTCCGTCAGAAAACTAAAGGTGACCATCGAAACATTATGTGCAAACAGTATTGAAAAAAGATTATTGCCACGTATATCCTCGAAAACACGAAATTTTTGCTTTGTATACTTTTTCGTACAACGAATATTTTACGAATAATTTCAAATCGTCAAGATAGGCGAATTAGCCTGTACAGAGAGCTTAGAAATGTGCAAAATTGCCATTTCCCTGTAATATTCCACCGTTCTCGTATCTGGAATTTTCAAAGAAATATTCTAGCGTATAGTCTAAAACACGTTTCGGCATTAAATCTGAAAAATATACAATCCCCTGTTCCCCGACAAAATTTCAATCCAATTCTAATTTGTCAAAATGCCCCGGCGCAAAGCACTTGGCGAATCGTGAAAAGGAAAATATCGCAGTATAGCTCTGGGAAATTTTGCGAACAATTTTGTCGTACGCGGCAGAAAAGTCGAAAATTTCCATGAGATTTCGGTCGTATGCAGAGTTTAATATCCACGGTCCAGCGAAACTTGATAAAATCCGCCTATGAAGCTGTGTGCGAAAGGCGAAAAGAGAAATAGAGTAGAAAGAAACGATTTCATATCACTTAGGCAGTGAAACAAATCTGATTCCACGCGATATTTCTCTGTTCTTTTTTTTTTCATCCTACAGAATGGGCGAGACCGGGATAGAAAAATGAAAATAGAAAAACGAATGGGAAAATAAACGTTCGGGAGTAGCGTTACGGGTGCTTTTGAAACTTCGCCGAAGATTATTCGTCCGGAGCGGGGAATTGTCAAGTTTCTGAATTTTTCATCCGGTCAATATTGACAATTCTCGTTGAATATCCGCTGTCAGATCTTCTCTTCTTAATTATGCACCAACACGAGACCTCGTTACGGCGAGGATTATTTTCTGTGGCTCGAAATCTTCGAAACAGAGCGTACCTACCGTGTGTTTGTTTCACATTCTCCGCGTTGAAAACGGAACTCGGGTTAATTCGTAATTTTATTTACAAGAAGTATGTCCGTTTGAAAAATACTCGTACAATAAAATCTTCTTTATAAGGAATCTTTAACCCTTTCATGCTTTGAACGAAAATTAATCTCAATTTAATATTGTAATATCGATATGGTAACAGTATGGTAACGATATGGTACGGTAATATCGTATTTAACATCGTAAATGTGACTATCAGTAGACAAATAAATGAAAAAGGATTTAATTCAGTCACGAAATGATTAACACTCTGTAATGCCATGTGACTTGGAAGATAAGTATTTATTAATCTGTATTTTATAAGTCATATTTCATAAGCATTGTATCGCTGTACTATTATCCTAATTTTATTTCAATAATTATGACGTTCACTGAAATAAACGCTCAACAGTAATCAAACGCAATTTTTTCTTCTCACGAACGAAGAAATATCGTTGTTTCACAGGATCAAGTAATCCTTAAATCTTTCCCGTGTTCCAGTCATCAATTTTACAGACAACAATCACTAACGCATGACTCTATTCGAAATGCAAAACTGAGTCAGTGATAATCCGCCGTAATTTTTCCTCTCAGAAACGAAGAAAAATCGTTGTTTTCACAGGGTTAAGTAATCCTTAAATCTGTTCGGCGCTCCAGTTTCAAGACAAAGACACGCTTTTCTCCTGGCTGGATGGGAAAAAATTATTAATAGGACAGAGGTGAAAATGTGAGAGGGAGAGCTTAGGATCTTTCGACGAGACTCATCAGCGAATCATGGACAAGGTTAAGAGCGTAACGAGGACGCGGTGTCTTGACGGCGTAGTTAATCGAAATTAATCACGGGGCCGGCTTCGTAACGAGACAAATTAAACATTCGTTAAACGCGACGTGACGATGACCCAATTAACCGCGGCCTGCTCATCCTGCCGGCAAGCGAACCCTCTCCACGTGCGACCCAGTTCTCATCTACCTGGACGTCGACGGACCGCGAAAGAATATCGTTGTGCTGCGTTGCTCCTCGTCCTCCACGATTTCTCGATTTTAATTAGTGTCGAAAGCGAGGCGTGCTCGTTTCCACGGATTTCGCCCCTCCTCGTGCCGTCGCCTGAAAAATAGGAACCTCGTTCTTCTTTTTTTTTTTTTTTTTTTTTT